TATATTTAGTAGTAACACCACTGGAGTTTGCTGGCTCCATCCCAGATATGATTTTCATTCTTGATTCACCACTGTGTTTCAGAGGACGGTGAGGTCACCCAGACCGAGTTCTTAGCTCACTGGCCAGGTACAAATGGTGCCCAGGTATTTGCGGCTGCCGCTGGTGAGGACGGTAAAATTACCCGCGAAGATATGCAACGTATCTGTAATCAGTATGATGCCAACGGTAATAGCTCTTATTATGTTATGAGATTCATTTTCTGACAGTTCCTTTTTATGACTTCAAATATTTCTCAGAATTAACTGGATAAGTAATTATATTCAGGTGAATGTCACTTTGGGGACTGTTTATGTGTCTATTTTTTGTTTCATATAAGCTGTGCGTGTAAGTAATATGCATTTAAGAACCTAAGAAAATGAATCAAACAATTTACTTAATTAATGTTAACCTTACTTTAATTGCTCTAATGCTGTGTGTGCGTTTTGAAGGATATAAAAAATAAACAGAGAACAGATAAGGAAACAGAAGTATCGCGGATGGACGTGCTCAAGATCAAGTCAGCAGTATTTTCCAGATTGAAAATCTGATTTCTGAATTCTTTTTCAAAAAAACTTTCTATTTTTATTTCTAGGCGACGGCCAAGTCCCCTTTGAGGAATTTGCTGCAGCCTGGTTAAAGGTAACTTTAATACAATTATTGCCTTCGGGTGAGGTGACTTCGGTGATTTATGCGACCCTCATCTGGTATAATTGACCTCCGCCGTCGTAGACATTTACGAGTGATATTATGACAGTTGTATGGATAAACAGTAACTGTATTATTTACCCATGTTTTCAAATGGTAGAAATGTTTCTGGTATTACATACTCTTTCAGTCAGATCATTGCCATCCGTGTTGCCGTTCTCAATGAGGTTATATTTTCACCGAAGATGGGGAAAAGAGACAAGAGAGGGCGAAGAATTACTTTATATGTTTTTAGTTGTAACGTTGTGGTATTTTATACATTCCAGATCGTTAGAGAGAATCCTGCCATTCTTGGTTGAGTGAACCTTTGTACATGGTTTGTAACAGTGCTGAAGAAGGACATGTGGAGATTTCGTGGTTGTTTTACTTCCCTTACAAAATTACGGACTTAAGTGTTTCCGAAGTGTTCTTCCAATTTCTGACTTTTTATCTTGGATTTCGTGAAAATAAAATACAGAGGGAAAGAAAGTGACAGTTTGCATTGCACTTTTTGTTTTGAATTATCAGACCGTTACAATTACAAGATACTAGTAGATATATTTATGCAAACATAAAGGAAAAGAAACATATGTCACGATGGTATTGGCTTAAATCTTACTGATTACGCAAGGTAAGAATTAAACCACCTTCATGTTCCTTCATATTCTTTATTGTCACTTCCTAACTACGTTTTCTTCTATCTACATTTTCTTCCTCCCCCTTCAACCTCCTACATGGCATTCCACCGTTTACATTACATTTGTTTACATCAAACCAGTTACTCTTCAAAACACTCCCCGCACCTTATTAACTCGTGGCTTTCAATGACTAACATTACATTATCTCCCGGGGACGATATGCCTGTCCCTAGGCATATTCAAAATTAAAATATACCACTAAATAATCCTTCTTAAGCACTCCAGAGTCGTACCAAAAATATAACTAAGCAAATAAATTCTATATAATTAACTTACACATAAAATAGAAACACATTGGACTTGAAACCAAAAATATAACTCAAAGGAAGATAAATTAATAACTTTTTGGAAAAATCAGGAATGTTCGTGGATATATTTCGTATTGGCATTTAGACTTTTTAATGTGTGGTGCAAGAGTAGAGGTACTTTTTGTTTGTTTTCGGCCGCGCGGATATTTAATCTGTTACTCTCTTATTATGGCTCTGACACATTTTCTTATACGGTTTCCTTCTTTTGGTTGTCATTTTTGATATAGTAGGAATGCACTACAGGTACGTGATACAATAGGGTCGATCACTCCCTGTCCAGTGAGCAGCAGTCAACACAACGTTGCGACCAGCGCATCGTTCGTGATGAAGAACTTGTTCATTTTCAGATTTATCCACACTGTAGCGCTCCTTTGTGACGACTATAAGAGAAACATTTGTTTATATGAAGTTCAATCCACGAATGTATAAAATTATACTGAGAAATAATCAAGTCACAAAATGTGAGAATCTCCCTTGATGTCTATATCATAAGTTTCATGTCATCATACTGTTCATACATATGGTCGAACAATAGAGGCCGTATGATAATTACAGGGTAGGGGAATCCCCAAGAAATCCTTATCGGACACCCAAATTAGTCGGTTCAACGAACACGGTCTGCCCCTTCTTAATTGCCTCACTTAAAGTTTCTATTATAGCTGATGCAAAGAGATTGCTATCGACACGAGCAAACAATACCGGGTTATGTGTCAACTGCAACAGAAGACTCGAGTAAAGGCAAGTCAAATATTAGAACAAAACTCTGAAGAACAAATCAGGCTTAGTTTTAAAACACGTACCCTGTATAACAATTTTATTTGATGATAATAAGTCACGATCAACAAAAGNTGCCCGACGGGCAGGGTATGGAACTATTGTTAACAGAAACCAAACAGCGTATGGATGACAATGGTATTTCCATAGTTACCGAGCCAGGCCGGCCGTACAACCCGCAGCGACCCGGAGGGTAAGTAAGGGGAGATTCCGGCGGCACTGTATAACAATAATTATCTGGTTAAATATAGATAATCAGTAATCATAAGATATATATAAGTTGCATATAGATATATTTATAATACTTCACGTATTTGATATTCAATACATAATGCTTACGGCCAATCTCAGTAACTAGGTCCAATTGATGTTCCAGACCTTGGTGCCGTAAGAAAAAGGAAATTAAGTCTGTTCAGTGACTTCAAAAGACGTGCACTTAATGACCAACTTATTAGCCGAAATCGTCAGTATTCTGTGAACCAGTGCCAGAAGAAAAATAATTTTAATAACAAAAATTAAACTTTCGTTACTGTCGCCAAACGCCATCTCCATCAAACATACTAAATGTATACCACGGCAATATAGTCTTCTTTTTGTAACGCACCTTTTTTTTCATGTCACATAACATCGCTTTTTTCAGATAAGGCTATTTAACCATCAGTATGTATGAATGTTTAAATATTATCAGTTTTGAGGCGAATGTTACGGTCTCTCCTTGCCGTGCACTGAGGTTGACCGCCTCTACCAGTCACAGGAATGAGGTTTAGGTGGGGTTGGGGGTGGGGGAATAAGGGTGAGGGTGGGGAGGCGGAAGGGGGCCCCCGGGGCCTCCCTTTATAGTTTGAAGGTTAATTTTTAATTTATGGAATTTTTTAAAAACGAAAAACGATTCTGGCAACCAGAAACTAGTGTCGTTTTTTAAAAACGATTCTGAGAAGCCAGAATCATTTTTGCGGAAAGTGTTACGGTCTCTCTTCGCCGTGCGCTGAGGCCGATACAGGCCGATACATGTAGGTCTGCTGATCCGTATCTACGGAGCACAAGAAGCCTTTGCCGCGTAAGCCGGGCAGGGTGTTCAGGGTGTTACGTTCTAGTTTATTTTTCATTGTAAGTCATGGCAACATAAAAATTATTGACTAGTGTAAAGTGAAAGGCACACAAATGCTTACAAAGTTTATTAAATACAGTAAATACTGTGCATACGCCTCATAATCAAAATATGTAAAAATACTGAGGTACTCATATTGATTTTTCAGTTTTTTGTCCTTTCAGTTCTTTCTTAACGCCTACCCGATGTTGCTTATCAAGAAGAAGAAAATAGAATCTAATGAAAAAATTTATGTGCCCGTGCAATCATGCCCAAATATGAAAGTCATTATTAATAGTCATTCCCGAAACTAACACCCCATTTCCATAGATTTTTAGATCGATCTATCCCTGTGGGGAGTCTCACTAGATTACTGTCAGCTTGGCCGGCTTGAGCGTCTGTCCCGCCTACTAAAAGCTGTAAGGGGGTAATTAACTATGGTGCGCGCTCGTCTGATTGCAATTTAGCGTGAACCCCCAGGGAGTTAGGTCGATCTAAATTTTAATCCCTGGATCGATCTAAATCTCTGGAAATACACCCTAAATCAACACTGTCTAATGATATGTCGAGTTAACTTTCTCACCATAACCTTCAAGGGGAAAACTCAATTATTCTTCATTCCAAAAACTAAATGAACACGACAGAATAAATCTCAAAACCAGTATCTTCAACTTAATATTAAAAATTATATTTTTATATATGAGGCTGTATTCCCAGAGCTTTTAGATCGATCTATCCCCGCGGGGAGTCTCACTAAATTACTGTCAGATAATCCGGCTTAAATGTCCGTCCCGCCTACTACAAGCTGTAAGGGGGTAATTAACTTTCGTGTCCGCCCGGCTGACAGCTATTTAGCGTGAACCCCCAGGGAGTTAGGTCGATCTAAAGTAGATCGATCTAATCTCTGGAAATGGGGTCTAACATTACAAAAAATTAGATCAAAAACCCCACTGTATTTCCAAAGGGCCTTTCTCATCATAAATTTGTCTGATGGGCGTGATATTGATCAAGCGAACTGAAATAAAATTGTGCGGTGCGTTTTCGTCTTTTATTTGGTGGCATAATGCGGCTCTACAGAGGGTTGGTGTAATCCAAAACCAATACGGGAAACAAATAAGGCTAATAGACACGGGATAAGTGCAATTGACATTCAACCTTTAACAAGCAAAACTCAAACAATATGCCAATAAAACGTGATTATCGCATGGTATGCCGGTCGTGATGTGCAATTGCCCCCAGCCCAGGGTTTGGCTTCGTCTGTTCACCGTCCTTGAGACTACTTTTTGACCGTGAGAACGTCACAGTACGTTTTTTAACGTGTGAAGATAATTTGCATAAGGCGTGACACGTAATGACTCCAGACCACGATCTGTTATATAAAAGCTCGTGTCCTAGGTAAATGGGTCAGTTGACTAAGTTTTTGTGTCGTTCGTTATTGGTGCAGGATCCAAGTAAGTTATTTATATTTTTATACAGTTTTTACTTTAACGCAGGAAGTTGAAGTTAAATTAGAGTGATTGCATTGTGGAACCTGTTCATTCAGTTGTATGGGTGTTTATCAAAGTTTCTTGTTGTAGGGTTTTCCGGACCGATCGTAATCCTTTACTTCGGCACTGAGTACTTTTGTACTGGTTGCTACATCGGCTTTACGAAAACTAATAAGACGAATCTTTTATGACCAAGTTGCAATATCATTAAGATGTAATGCATTAGATTTTGCTAAATAATATTCTATACACAATGTGAAAAATTAAAATCGGAGCGTTTTTCTTAACACCAGGTATATTTTGCATTCACATATTGTTACATGTAATATAGTTTTATATTTATGCATGCTTTAAATGAAGATATGTAAGATACTTTATTTTCAAACCCGAATTTGTACGTATATTTAATAATATGTAAATCATATATGTTTCATTTCAGTAAATACAAAAATATGAAGTTTTTGGTATTCTTAGGACTTATAGGGTAGGGTGATATTTTTTCTGATTTTTCGTGGTTTAATTTATCTGTATTCTTTTTAAAAAATCAGTTTGACATGCTCAAAAATACGTTGAAATAGGAGCAGCTAGGTCCACGCCTATGGGTGCTTTCCCAGAGATTTAGATCAATCTAAAGATTAAGTTTTAGATCGACCTAACTCCCTGGGGGTTCACGCTAAATTGCAGTCAGCCGAGCGGGCAGCATAGTTAATTACCCCCTTACAGCTTTTAGTAGGCGGGACAGACGCTTAAGCCGGCCAAGCTGACAGCAATCTAGTGAGACTCCCCACAGGGATAGATCGATCTAAAAATCTATGGAAATGGGGTGTATGTTTAGCTTAAGCTTTCGTAGATTATTTTGATACTGATTAGTAAAATATTCTTTTTCTATCTTCAGGTTTGCTCTTTGCCAGGACAGGATCGACCAGCTGTTTAGCTTGGTGGATGCCAACAAGGACGACTCCATCCAAAAGGCCGAACTGATGGCCGTGTTCCTTTCATTTGATGACGACGGTAGGCAGTTGTTTCTGTCTCTCTGCACAACCGCATTTTCTGTTGAAATGACAAAATCCAAAATAATGGTAAAGATTCAATACATGAGCAGCAAACGTTTCACCAGTTCTCTTCATTTTCAACATGGTCTTGGAATACCTGCTCCTTCTAAGTAACGGGAAGCGTATCTTATATGCATCCGTGATTTTTTCAATTGAAAGCACGTTGCCGTTAAAATCAAACAATACATGAAGAAATGATTTTACAAGTATTATTTTGAAGAGAGATCGGCCTCTAGTTTGTCAGTTCCGACCCGTTTTGTCCCGTTTAACGCAACTGAGGGTCCGCGTACCAGAAAGTTCGCCCTCCATTTAGTTATAGAGCCTAATGGTTAGGGCTAGCCTGACCTAAGTGGGTCAAAATCTAAGGCGAGACTTGCCTGTACAATTGCAAATGATTGGGAAGCGGACGCTATATTAGGGGGGACTCTCTGTCACGTTACACCGGCTCCGTGAGCTCCGCTGGCTCAGCGTCATGTCGGCGGATACAAGTCACCGTTACCGCATTTCTTCCTAGACAACAGGGACCTGTGTCCTCATCTCTTGAAATTAGGTCACATATAATCCTGAACCCTTTGATTTGGGACTCTGTCGGTGCATTTGCATAGGCGTGACGCTCGTCGCAATATATAATGCAACCTTGTCAAAATTTTTGAAAATCAAATGCTAAATATCCCCCAAAACCAAAGGGAATATGGGAAAGTCAAGTTACTATAGAAGTCTGACCGAAAGTCATTTGTGGAGATTTCAAATATGACCTTAGATTTTTCCTTTGACCTATATTTTAAGGTCGAATGGGCCAATATTTTGTAGAAAAATAATTATTTATGAAAAATATATTTGTGTCGATTTTTAGAAACTAAATAGACCTATGCTTTTTTATTATGGTGAGAAGTTACACTTGGGGTCTCCTTTTATCTTCATGAGATTGTGGTCAATCGGTGCATTTCCACGGTGGAAGCGGCCATTAAATGCCAAAATGGAAAACTCTCTCTTACTCAAGAACTGTTACTTGTTTGTTTCATTTTGTAGAGCTTGTCAAGCACAAAACTGGACATTTTGGCCTTTTTTGTTTTCTATACTATTCTATGCTCTATTTCAAAAATTACAACCCAATGCACGATGGTGTTAAGGTTCCAAAATTAAATGTGAACTACTCCAAAATTAGCAGAGATATACCCATAGTTAATATTAAACGTGGATAGGAAATCATACACTGGCAATCTTGTGGTCGTGAATTTGACCTTTGGCGTACTTTTCTCCATGAAATGCCCTTTGCAAATTTGCTAACCTTTATATTTGTTCCAGGTGATGGCAGTGTGTCAGAGAATGAGTTTGTCACTAATTGGGTTACCAAGACAGGGTCCTCCCCAGAAGCTGCGAAGGCACTCTTCGACCTGACTGACGCTGCGGGTGGCGACGCGAACGGTCTGTCTGACACCCTTTATCATATACTGAAAAACATAGTATTCTAAAGCATGAAATTTGAAAGGAAATAGTGTTTGTGTAAACTTTGTGGTAATAATGCAGTTTTAACCATTCAAATGAAAACTCTTACGATTTAGTTTCGATCTTTTCGTGATTTTGCATTTGTATTATATAATGTATCATTCATCCAATGTATAAACAAAAATGGAGGTCTTACAGTTTGTTCATTATGCATCTTTGTCTTTTTCAAAATCCAGGATTGTGTGACAAAATAAAAACAATGATCACAGCGAATTTTCAATAGTGATAAACCGTTTCTTAACTTTAACAAAATGTTTAATTTACATGTAAACAAACCAATTTGCGGAAGATAACTGACCAACATAACTTCCCTCGTCATTCAAAACTTTTATTACCAGTGTATATATATAAGTAGTTCCGTAACATGTACTACTCTACTTGTTAGAGTACAAGAAACAGGTAAAACATCCCAAAGCATGTTACGGAACTACTTATATATATACACTGGTAATAAAAGTTTTGAATGACGAGGGAAGTTATGTTGGTCAGTTATCTTCCGCAAATTGGTTTGTTTACATGTAAATTAAACATTTTGTTAAAGTTAAGAAACGGTTTATCACTATTGAAAATTCGCTGTGATCATTGTTTTTATTTTGTCACACAATCCTGGATTTTGAAAAAGACAAAGATGCATAATGAACAAACTGTAAGACCTCCATTTTTGTTTATACATTGGATGAATGATACATTATATAATACAAATGCAAAATCACGAAAAGATCGAAACTAAATCGTAAGAGTTTTCATTTGAATGGTTAAAACTGCATTATTACCACAAAGTTTACACAAACACTATTTCCTTTCAAATTTCATGCTTTAGAATACTATGTTTTTCAGTATATGATAAAGGGTGTCAGACAGAGAGTAATTTATAAATACATGTATATGCCTAAGTCACAGGTGGGGTCGTTTTGACGTCGTTACTAAAAAGGATTGGGTATCGAGTGAGGAAGCAGACTCTTTTTGGGGGGTAGCAATTTAGATAAATCTCAGCGCTTCTGCTATATTTTATGGGCACGTTTGGTCCAATGAAACCATCTGTGTGTACTTGGTGCACATATTATTTCAAGTGCAGTATGTGTTCAATAGAATAATGCTAGAATTATCTATTTTGCTGAACTAACTTCCAGCTGGGGAGTTCAATCCCCTTGTGCCATGCAGTTTCATAAGAAATAAACAGGCCCGTAGGCAGGGGGAAGAGGGGAGTTAAGGGCTTGAGAGAATCCCCCTTTTGAAATAAAAAGCATTATCCTGATCACAATTTTGATTTTAAAAAATTCAAAGTGGATCAAATGAGGGGGTAAAAAGGTACCTTTTTGGATTACAAAAATAATAATGATAATAATTATAATAACACGCCTGATAAAATGTATGTTGTAAAGTTATGAAGTGTTGGTATCGGATAGGCGCGCAGGAAGCATATTTAAATGAGGGGTGAAGCAAACAGGAAAAAAATAGCGACGAGGGTTGGTGGAGGGAGAGGAGGATATTGGCAAAAAGCTGTAACATATCATTGACTAACAGAAGTATAATATGGTAAAAAAAAAAAAAAAATTAGCCAGGGTCCTCTAGCCGCCGATGTGCTTGGAAAAGGAGGAGACCGAATACGCACATTTTGCCTTACAACAAAATTTTGAAAATAAGTCAGAGGTCCGAATACATACAGTTGTACTTTATTAACTTGAAATTAATTATATAATAACATGGTCGTCATTATAAAAGTAACGAGTAGGAATTACATTATACTGTACGTTTTAAATCAACAGCATTCGCATTATTTTAATTTCACTATTATCATAGCTTTCAGAACAAAACAGTTTCAACACCGTGGCGCTCAGTTGAAAAACCATGGACACTTCCAAGTGAAATTAATCTGTTCTTCTAAATCTGAGAGTCTTAAGATTTCAAGATGGCCATGTCCATATAGCAGAGTAAAATATTCACATTTTGGTCTGACAGCAAAATAAGTCCCATTCGGTAGACTTCATACGTGTATATTCATTGAATCGTAAGCTACTGATACTCAAGGCAATCGGTGTGCTGAATATGTTTTTAAAATTGTTTTTAATATATTTATTTGAGCCCTTTATTCAATTATACTGATTAAAACTAAAGTAATGCCTGTACAATCATTCAGTACAATAAGCAAAAACAACAACAATAATATTGCCACAAAAACTCAATCTGTGTCAAACGTTCATTCAGTTGATAATAAAGGAACTCTTGTCAGTGAAATGTCTTAATTCAACCTTTTAGGTTCTTTTTTTCATTACTAACAACCTAAAATGTTCTGAACATGTTGAATACATTTATAAATTCATGAGCACAATTGCATTATCTACGTCAACTTAAATGGGCAAAACTATCCTCATCAGATCTTGTACAGGTGCACCAAAGTTCTTCTTTCTCTGTTTTTTAAGGTGTACAGGTATGAAAGGTTTTAAAAGAAGCTGTGGATGGCAAAAATAAGCATTTTTGGGATTTTCAAACCCATGGAGTGTTGTATAACACCCAACATTTACATTTCTTTTTCTTTAACCAGCTTTTAGAGCCTTTTTCTTATCTTATTGCATAAATCTTTTCTTATTAACACCATTATGATATAATATTTGAAAAAAAAACTATGATGGAAAAGTGTGTATTTTTATGCATTTTACGGTTAACGACAGGTCATTTCAAAGTTTTGGAGCATACTGGTACATGCATCTCAAATGGACGCCCCCTATAAGATGCATGTTCATAAGCATTATTATCGGCAGTTAAATACTGTAAAATAGAACAGGCAATAGATGCATGTAGCACAGCTATCAAAGGTGTCAATATCTACATCGTGCAAGTGATTCGAAAAAAGGCATAGATGTCCCAAGTGCCTTACGATAAAACATAGTACTTTACATTAAATTACATGCCTTAGCTCGTGCTGAGATAGCATGCAGTGTCTTAAAAAATAAATGTTATGTGCTCAGTCATATTGACTTTTCTTTCATCTCCAAGCTGGATTTCACAACTACATCATTAGTATCCAAAATGCAAAAAACATCATTGGAAACACCAACAGTCCCCATACCCCAAAAGACAAAAGCTGCCCGCTGCTGGATGGTGTACGGTCGGTTACTTCAGGGAACAGCAATTCTGTCGGTGTCTTTCGATTAGACTCGCGGTCAGTGTGCACTGCACAAGGTGAGATTTTCACGCGATCACGTACCTCTATCAGGAAATCTACACCTCTGTAACTGTAAGTCGGCATTCTCTCGGCAAACTTATCTTGCAATACTGACAAAAAAGGCAATCCATCTCTGTACGTTTTTACTGTTGCCCGCAACAACAATCCAAAGTCTCCTACAACATCACCGTAGTCTCTCGTTTCAGGTTGTTCAAGGTTCGAGCTGTTCACTGCACGACATATGTGATGTATCACTTTCCTTCCCTGCCAGACGTCCCGAAATTCATTGTCCATGTGTATCTTTTTAATTGAGAGACGTTTGCCAAAATCTTCGCAGGCGCTAATGGTCTTATTCATGTTAACGTTTAAGTTTTTGGGCGTCTTAAAAAGCAAGGTGAGTGTATATGCCGCCTTGAACATGTGTGTGAACAGTGACGGGCACGGGTCCGACTCTTCCTCGCCTGGGCAGCGTTCCTGGATTAAAAAAAGAAAGCCAATTACAAGCTCTACTACCATGATCAGACAATGATTAACAATGTATAAACGCTTTTGGTATTTATTAATCGGCTAACAAATTAAGATTTCCTTAATTTTTTTCACCAATATCAGAGAAACAGCACAAAGCGTTTGCATAGTTTTTTTCTCGGTTTCAGAAAGGTGCTACTTTGTATCAGTCAAACTTATTGGTTCATGTTAACGTCGTTGATGCAACCTGAGGAAATAGATCTTTCTGTTCTCTATTTCTCGAATTAAAGTTTCAATTTCTTCACACACACACACACACACACACACACACACACACACTTGAGTCTTGCGACCGGCCATATTATAAAAAAACTCTTTTTTTGCATTCATGCTGTTTTTACATGATCTAAATCGCCTTCGTTGTTTGACCAAAAACACCATGAAATTAAGTTGCTATGCAAAAGCAAATACATCCTGTTTTCCGATTTACGGATATTTGGTGTTTGTTAAACAATTTCACTTGGTCTTGACTAATCAATAACAAAAGCTAACAATAGTATTGTAGCTAACAATAGCTAACAATAGCCTCTCCTTACCATAATAGTATGAGCCTTGTTTGCCGTACAGGAATCTGGTAGAGCGGGTGCAAATATATCCACTAAGGCACGAAATCCAAAAGGGATGAAATTTCTAACCCCTTCCTCTGGAATAGCACACATAAAAGCCAATGTAATTTTCGGGTAATCGTTTTCATCAAACGAATATTAAGGTATACGCATATTACATAACATTAAGATCTTTTCATTTCCAGTATATCTTAACTGTTAGAAGGATATGAAATATATTTGCAAGTAAAACCCAGGCAGAGTGCTGTGCTCCGGTAAACCACGTCATCCTAAAAATAATATTCAAATCCCCACTGTATACAGTGAGGGCTTTTACATGATCTTATTTTAAATAATATTACCATTATTAATGTTATTATTATTTACAGGCTCTTGGCGTAATCCAACCATGGGGTCCATTACATGTTATTATTTTTACGTAGACAATCGCCATTTTTGTCAACATAAGAAAAGCTTAGAAAATGATCGTTCATGTATGCGTAAAGGTAAATTAATGTCATGGGGTTAACTTAATTGTAGCCAAACATGTATTCAAAGATGATATCGCTATTCGCGTGCGGCCGACAAATACAGTGCAGCAATCGACCCCCAACCTCGGAGAACCGCCCTTAGGGCCAATGTAAATGCAATAACGACATACATTAATTAAAGATAGTAAAGCCGCTAATTACCTCAGCCAAGGAGGTTATGTTTTCACCCTTGTTTGTTTGTCTGTCTGTCTTTCTGTTTGTCTGTCTGTCATGAACATGACTCAAAAAGTTATGGACCGATTTTGATGAAATTTTCAGGACCTGTCAGAAATGGGCCAAGAAACAGATGATCGGTTTTTGGTGGTGATCCGGATCAATAATTAACCAATAATCAATCAATAATCA